GGGGCCTGGGGTGGCAGGGACACTTACACTCTTCATTGAATTTTTACTATGGGTGTGTATTATTTTTTTCACTTAAAAAAAGGATTAAAGAAGAAAAGTCCGTCTCTTCCTTATGAATCCGGAGAGCTGTGTGCCGGAGGAGGTATCTCTAGGGATGCAACCAGCCCTCCACAAAAGCCAAGCCTTCCCGAAAGATTTCACCCGTGCCTTCTGGAAGCCGAGTTGTCTTTTTATTTAATTTTTATAACAGAAAAGTAGTATGTGGTCGCAAAGGAAATCCGGGAAAGTAGAAGGAGGAAAAAGATTGCTCGTGGATTTGCTACCTAACTCACCACCTTTCGTATTCGGTGATTTCCCAGGATAACTTTTTTTTTTTCTTTTTTTCTGTAGTTGGATTCATACTGTAGCCTCAAATTGGTTTCCTGATGTTTTTCTTTTCTTTTAATTTACCATTGTATTTTGAATATGTTCCTGCATCTTTAACAATCTTGGCAAAAGACACAAGTTATTTCTGTGGATGTGATTTTCTCCCTTATCCAATTCTTCCCCAAATCCAGCCCCATTCTCCTGGTTGCACTTCAGGTCTCTTTGATTTCCTGGCAAGGGGAGAGCTGTGCGCTGCCAGGCCTTTGGTATCCGAAGGAAATCCTTGAGCACAGTTATGGACTCGGTGAGCCCTGGGAGGGGGGCAGGGGTGGGGTATTGCCTGCATCCCTGAAGGCGTGGGTACTATGGGAACAGGAGAGGCGGGGCCCTTGGAAAAGAGGCAGCCTCGCTCAGGGTCACACAGGAACTCAGGGCCAGAGGCAAGAGTTGGAGGCTCCCCCTGGTGGTGGGGAGTCACAAGGCTCCGAATCTGACCCATTTTAGGTTATTTTTAGTTGTAGGTGAAGAGCACTTTTATAGAATCCTGTCCTCTTTCAGACCAGGGTCGTTGAACCAATGGCCAGTGTCATTGACATTGGCCGCTGGCTGGAGCCCCCCCCCCCCGGCTCTGTCATGCAGGCACCGGTCAGGAGGGCCACCTTGGGGACCTGACTCATCTAGAGCGCCCACCTCACACCAGACACTTAGCAACCTCACAAACACCCTTCAGCAGAGATATTACTACCCCCTTCACAGAGACGCAAACGAGGATCGGATGCTAGATCTTGGGGCAGAGCTGAGACTTAGATCGGGTCCCGCTCCCGTGTGTGTGACTCAGGGTCTGATCTCCAGCTCTGAAACCAGAGATTGCAGGGGAAAGAGTGTGTGCGTGTTGTGAGCGGAGGCCCTGCCTTCCCACCCTTCACGGTGCCCCAGGCTCCGGGAGGCTTAGGCCCAGGGCCTGTGAGAAGCCCAGCCCAGTACTCAGGACTGCTGAGCAGAATTCCTGTCCTCAGGGGTCTGGAGAGAGGATCTAGAAAGGCCACGCACGTGAAGATGCCCGAGCACAAGTGGAGCAGGGACTCACCGTGAGAAGGCAGGCAGGTGGAGCCAGGCATCCTGACCGTCCTCGAAAATCACGGGGGTGAGGCTGGGAGAGAGTGGGCTGAAGCGGGAGGGACCGGACCCTTCCTTCCCGACGGAGGGTCGGGGATATGATGATCCTTGCTATGTCTGGAGGTGTCCCAGCTCTCAGGAGATCTCCGCTGGGTGGGCAACTTACACCCTGGTCAGAGAGTGAGCCCCTTCCCCCATCTCAATAACATTATTGAGGTCCTTGACCTTTGATTTGGGAGGGGCCCATGGGGGCAGGGTAAATTCTCAGGACAGAAGAGATGAGGGGGGGCGACCCACCTGCCCTGGGCCCCCTGACACTGGGAGCAGAGCTGCTTGATGACAGGAGGCTCAGGCCTCCTGGTCCTACCCTGGTTCTCTGTGAGTGGCTGCTCCCTCCCCTTCTTCAGCCCAAGATGCCTTTTTATCAGGTCTGGGGGGCAGGGGGACGTTCACTCCTGATGACACCAGCCAGTGAGCAGCTTTCAAACATTTCCTCCTGTGTTAGTCAGGGTTCTCCAGGGCCACATGCCGACAGGATGTGTGTGCGTGTGTATATAAATGAGAGAGATTTATTTTGTAAGGAATTGTCTCATGTGACTATGGAAACTGACAAGTCCGGAATCTGCAGGGTGAGCAGGCAGGCTGGAGACCCAGGGAGGAGTTGAGGCTGCAGTTCAAGCCGGAGGCAGTCTGCTGACGGAATTCCCTCTTCTTGGGGCACCTCGGTCTTTTCTGTTAAGGCCTTCAACTGATTGTATGAGGCCCATCAGCAATATCTGCTTTACTCCGAGTTTACTGATTTAAATACTGATCTCATCTAAAAATATCTTCACAGAGACAACTAGAATAATGTTTGACCAAATATCTATGTACTGTGGCCTCTTCAAGTTGCACAGAAAATTGACTATCACTGCTCCCTTTGCTTTTGGTGACTCAGGGAGTAAACACTTGGATTTCCTCATTCTCCAATAGGAACGGGTAGGTGACACCTATCCATCTGCCCAGGCTGGTGGGCTATGGGGAGCCCTGGGGTCCAGCAAAGGGCTTCCATGAACACAAGACAATAAAAAACGGGATCTGAACAGGAAGCAAGAGCCTGGACATCACGAAGCCTCTTCCAGTGCACTGACTGGACACTGAACATAATCACCTCTTCTCTAGCCATTATTCTGAATCTTTAATGATAAATCACTATACCCCACATGGGTCCACAAATGTTACAATGCAAATTTTGAGTACTTTGTGTATATAGACGGGGGCCCTGCAAAAAAATATTTACCCAGGTCCCACCCACCATAAGGGCAGTCTTGATCTAAATGTTGCCAGGCATTTAGCCGGGGGCTCAGTTGGTTAAGCGTCCCACTCTTGATCTCGGTTTGGGTCTTGATCTCAGGGTGGTGAGATCAAGCCCCTTGTAGAGCTCTGTGCTCAGTGTGGAGTCTGCTTAGGACTCTCTCTGCCACTCCTTCCACCGCACGTGTGTGCACGTGCTCTCTCTCTCTCTCTCTCTCTCTCTCTCTTAAATAAATAAATAAATCTTTAAAAAAATATATTGCAGTTTTTCAAACATGGGGAGCAGAAGGGTGGGGGACCAGGAAGCTAACCATGTCAGATGGCTCAGGCAACTGGGTTAGGTGGAAGTAGAGATGGAATGGGCCCTAAAAATTAGGGAAATGTGTATGTCATGTATGTGTCATGTGTGTCCAAGGGAAATCACAATGGAGTCGAAGGACAAGGGCAGTCCCGCTGGCCACCCGACTCTGTGGAGAGGCAGGACTTGGTGGGGTTAGAGGCCTGAGAGAGGGAAGGCAGGAAGGCTGTTATAAGCGCCAAAGTCTTGGACATGGTGGATGAATTGGTCAAGGTACTAAGGGGCCAGGATTGCAGATGGATCTTCCTGATGGGCCCTAGAGAGACCAGGAGGCTTCGAGGCTGAAACCAATGAGGAGGTTGGTGGAGGTTAACAGGGAGGCAAGAAGGGGGCTAAGTGGGTGATGGGAGAATCTGCTGGCTTCCTGAAGGCCAGAGTGTGGAGGCCAGCTCTTGTCCCCAACATTTCCCCATGCCTAGCTCAGGGGCTGCCCCGAGGACCCGTGCTTCCCAGCTTCTTATGTTCTGAGGGTTTGGGAGTTGAGTCATTGGTCCAGGGGGAGGAGCGGGGGAGGGGCAGCAGTCAGGGGAGAGGAAGCTCACAGTGGCTTGGGGAGGTGGGAGAGAAGACTGGGGAGTTCCCTGGGCTGGAGTGTCCAAAAGGAACTTCACCTGGAGCCCAGGGGCCACACTCTGGGCCTCAGAATCAGGATGTGCTTGTTCAGAATCACCTGCTTGAGCGCCAGTACGTCCGTGCAGGTGGGAGGGGCTGGGGGCTCCTCAGCACACGTGAACTCCTTTAGGAGCTACTTTCTTCAAGGTAGGAAAGAGGAAACCGGGGCTGAGAGAGAGAAGTCTGATCAGCTCCTGCAGCTCAGATGTAGATGTAGAGCTGTGGGCTTCGGATGCTGCGGCCTGTGGAGAGAGGTCTCTTGTCATGTCTTGGGGGGCAAGGTCTGGCTGTGGGATTGGGGGGCACCACACCTTGTGCAATAGGTCACAGTGCCCCTTCATCCTGGTGGGCTTGACCCAAGAACTGAGTGCACCCCAGGAGTGGGTGTTCGCTTTGGAGCCCTCAGAATCCGCTGGTCTGGGATGGTGGCCGCAGGGAGGCAGCCCTCCGCTGAGCCATGGGCACGTGCAGCCAGGCCCAGCCTCGGAAGAGCCGCCGTCCGGCTGGCCACCCAGACTCTGCGGAGATAAGGGGCACTGGAGACCCGTTCCTTATCCTTGGCCGGGTGGCCAGCCTGGAGGGCAGTGTGGTTTCCCGCGTGTCCTGGAAAGACCCAGAGGTGAAAACCCAGCCTGCATTCGCCCCGTGCCATGTCCCGACCCTCCGCACCCTTCCTGTGTCACTAAGCCGGGTTGCCATGGAGAACAGGGCTCCTTCACACCCACAGGCCCCTGGGATGAGGGTAAAGGTGTCCCAGAGCTGTCGCCTGAGCCCTTGAAGCCCTCAGGTGGTGTCACCCAAGGTCCTCCCAGCACCCGGGGCTGTGCGGTGCCCCGAGTGTCTCACGTGGGGCTGGGGCTCAACTGTGCTCCCACCCCCTCAGTTTTGCTCGGCTCCGGGGTGGGCAGGCCGTGGTCCCAGGGGAGAAGCTCTGGGGTAGGGTCGGCCCGACGGCGGAGGGATCTGGCCAGGGCGTGGCCACCCCACGTGAGCCGCGGGCCGGGCCTCCAGTGGCCACTGCTTTGGCCGGTCCGCACCGGCTAGGCCCCGCTTCTTCAGAAGCCAGCCGTGGGCCTCCTGGGCCCGAAGCAGCTGACACCCCCAGGAGGCCTTGTGGGGGGTGGGGGGGAGCGGGAGGGGCGGCAGGCGGGTGGGCGGGGTGGGAAGGTGGAGCACGGCCGCCCGGCGGGTCTCGGCAATGAGGAAGTTCTCGGGCCGCTGCTGGCTTCCTTTCCCTCGCTGAGCTCCTGAAACAGGAAGTCGGCCAGGGAGCTGGTGGCAGCAGCGGGGCCACCGAGCGGGGCCAGACGGACGGCGGCGCCGGCTCGCAGTGCAGGGGCCTCAGCTCCCCTCGGTGGCGCGTCGCTCCTGGGGTGGCCGCCGGCCCGGCCCCGGGAAGGCCCGTGGCCGCCATGGTCCCCTGCTGGAACCATGGCAACATCACCCGCGCCAAGGCCGAGGAGCTGCTGTCCAGGACGGGCAAGGACGGGAGCTTCCTCGTGCGCGCCAGCGAGTCCATCTCCCGGGCCTACGCGCTGTGTGTGCTGTAAGTGCGCGGCCCCCGCCCGGGCCCCCGCCGCCCGCCGGGGTCCCGGGGAGGGGAGGCCAGCTCGGGCCTCGCGCCCACGCGGGCACAGCTTGTCTTCGTGTCATGGGATGCATGGACGCGTCTTGCGTGTTGCCCAGATTTGTTGGTGGGTCCAGCCGACGCCCACTGTGGGCCCCGCTGGGCCTTGGAGCATAGGGTTTTCGGCCCCCGGGAGCTCCCCAGGGCCTCCCGGGGCCTGGTCACCCTTGCGGCTGCCTGGGAGCGGTGGTGCCAGGGGCCAGGAGGCGGGGGTGGGCCGTCTCCAGACTCTGGGAGGCAGGCAGAAGCTCAGGGCTCCAGAGCGGTGCGGGTGTTAAGAGAGCGGCTTGGTCAGTTCAGGTGTGGGTCAAACATGCCCAGCTTGGAAACCCTTGTGGAAGAACAGATGTGGCAAGAGAGGACCTTTCCGGAGCCCAGGCTTTGGGCCCGTGGAGGAAGCTGTAGTTCGGGGAGCCAGAATATGGGGAGGGTTCACCCAAGAAAGAGCTTTCAGTTCACCCAGAAGTTGCATTCGGGGCCCTGAGAGCAGAGGAAGTCACCATCACTGACAGCGAGAGCCTCCTCTCCCCCACCTCAGCACTGGGCAGTGTCCCCCACCCATTGTGGCCTCTCAGGCACCATCAACCCCCCCACCCCTGTCCCCACGTCACCCCATTCCCAGCTCTGGGATATTGCTGAAACCTCCAGTTGTCTTAACAACGGAGGAAACAGCCACTTGCTGAAGGTTCCTTTTTAAAACACCCTTGTTTGACCCATGTCTGAAAAAGGCCCTCACGCCGGCAGCCCTGCCATCTAACCACCCCTGCCAGGCTCAGGGCAGTGCCAGGGCACGGTGGGGGACAGGCTGTCCCCCTGCACCTCTCAGGTAGCATCCGTGGCCTTGCAGAAAGTTCCCCCTGACCAGGCAGGAGGGGAAGTAGGTCACCGAACACAGACCTGTTCTGAGCATTGAGTGTAAGCATTTGTCTTGGGGTTATCCCATTTTATCCTCTGGCGACCCGAACTGCAGGTCCCAGTATCAGCCCCCTTTGCAGATGAGAAAACTGAGACCCGAATGGGTTCAGAGACTGACGACAGTCAAAGCCTGGGCCGTCTGCCCCCAGAGGCTGCGCCCAGACGACCGGACCCTTGCCGCCCCACTCCGAACCCTGTCAGGCCGAGTGTGAGCATAGGTTCCAGGGGACAGCAAGGGAAGCCAGGGTGCTGACAAGGACGCAGCTGGCCAATGGGCCCGAGCGCTGACTGCACCAGAGGACCACCTCCCAAGGCCAACTCCCCTCCCCCCCCACCCCTGACTCTCACACTCAGGGGAAGAGACCAGGACTTCCCCACAGGCACTGCCCCCCACCCCCCGGGCACCCGCCGACAGGGCCTTGGAAAGGATGGGAAGACGCCACACTGACTCCACTGGGTCCACATGGCTCTCTCTCCTGCCCCATGGACCTTAGCGGAAGGCCGATGCTGTTGGGTGTTGGCTGTGTGCTGAGCCTCCCGCTGAGAGCTTCTAGGACCCTCCCAGGGGCCCTTTGGTCAGGGTGCTCGGGTTGTGCGCAGGTTACAGACGTGGTCTCTGACTCTGCACTGGCAGGTGGCAAGCCAGAGCCGGGGCTACGCCTAGAGGCCCTCGGGAACCTCTCGTCCCAGGCCGCGGACTACGGGTGAGTGGAAGGAGCTCTGAGAGGGTGAGGCCTTTGACTCCACCGCCCTGCTGACTGGTGGCAAGCTGGGGTCCAGGCCTGGTTTCCCCTCTTCCTTCCTCCGCCTCTCCTCCCCTCTGCTCATCTGCACTGAATCACTCACAGGGCTGCAGCGAATGTACAGGGTCCCCTTCATAGAGGGGGCGCCCGGAGTGCCCACAGATGTCCGCGCTTCTCATCAAGCTCCCGTCTTCAAAGCCCTTTTAGGTCCAGACCCCAGGGCTTGGATTCCTCCCTGGGGACCCTGCCCTTTGGCCAGGCCCAGGGCTTCCCTTTCCCCTCTGCTCTTTGAGGGAAGCCACCCTTCCTTCAGGGCCAGGAGCCACTGCAGGCTTCAGGATAGGGTGGGCCCCCAAACGTTCCCCAAACCTGGGAGACTCAACCCCGCCGCCACCTTTCATTTCACCAACTAAGGAGATTTAAGAATGAAAAACTTAAAATGAATGACAACTATCTGCCACCTTCCAAAGGCTCATTTCATGGAAGAAAACATCCTTGAATACCAAAAAAGCAGGAAAAGTGTACTCTTAAAAAAAAAAAAAAAAAGCCAGTCCTTTAAATCAACTTAGATTTAACTTCTCTGTGGCCTGGTGCAGACCTTGCCCCCATGCCATCTGGGTCCACGGCCTAGTGCTGGGAACCCTGACGGGGTGAAAAGCAGCTGGGCTTTCCTCCGTTTCACAAGTGCTGGCTGTCTGGAAGTCAGCTGAGAGTGCAGGGACCCCGGGGTGGGGGGGTGTGCAGCTGCGGGGTCAGGGCTCTCAGAGTGAGCCAGGCCTGCAGAAGGAAGCCACCACGACTTGCCCTCCTGCTCTAGAAATATCCAGGGGAAAAGGCCTCCTGGCCGGACACGCCAAGACCTCCTGCCTGTGCCCAGTGGCCGGAGCCTCTCCCCAGTGCCCTCTGGTGAGTGAGGGGACAGCAGGAAAGCCCAGCTGCTGAGTTAGGCGTCTGCGCTGGGAGCACCAGGAACTGTGTACACCTTCTCCCCGGTGGCCTTGGTGCCCAGGAAAGAACAGGATTTGACTATTTAAATGAAACGAGAGAGGGGGTGAGGGAGACACCAAAAGACAAGGCGGCAATTCAGGGCTGCTCACGTGATGAGAGCGCACAGTCACCCCAGGCCTCGCAAACCCACATTTCCTCTCGAGAGGTCAGCTCTAACACCTGCGCCTGGGCAGGAAAGCTCAGCCCTCTCCTTGGCAGCTCAGAGAGGCCTGCTTGAGGGAGACCCCGGAGGTTCTTCCTGGGCGCAGAGAGCTGGAGGGGAAGACCCCCAGGCAGCTGGCCACATGGTTTGAGTCCAGCTCTGTCATCTTGTGGCAAGGGGCTTGAAAACATGAGGGACACAGGGCCTGCATCATCCTCCCCTGACCTGACTCAACCCCGCCACAGGGGTCCCTGGAGGGGGCGTCCGGCCCATTTTGGATGGGGTCGCTAAGAGGCTATCAAGCTCACACCCTCCTTTCCTGCCAGGATGGCCCGTCCACATGGGGCCAGGGTGCCTGTCAGGTGCTTTATGCTGCAGAAAGGAGATACACCTTTGGGGGTGTATGGAAGGGGCCAGGAGTCGGCAGGACCAGCCTCTCCTTGCTCAGGCTGCACAGACAGAGCTAGAACAATGGCCCAGCATCGCTGGGCGTACAACCTGCCCACCCACCAAAGCGCACTAGAGAGGGTTGGCTCCCCTCCTAGGGGAGGGACAGGTGTGTGTTGCCTTTGGTTCAGGAACCAGAGCCCCGTCCAGCCAGCCGTGGCAGCGACATAGTCTTGGTTTCCCCAGTACAGAGCCTCCCCACCCCCGCCGAGCTACCCAGGCACACCCACGGTCTCCTTCCCAGGGACAGTGTACCAGGCAACCTGGACTCTGGCCTTGTCAGCAGAGCCCCAAAGATGAAGAAGCACAAGTAGGACATTGAGCCACCAGAAGTTCCCTCAGAGAAGGCATTTTTCTTGTTAGGATGATAGAGTGTGATAGGCCACTTGAGGTAGATAGAGTAAGCCTTAAGCCTTGCAGAAGGTGGTTGCTAACCTGTTCTGTCTAAAAATAACCCAAAAGACTCACGAAGGCTTACTGTGTGCCAGGCTCCTCATTTTAGGCTCTTTACATGGATTAACTCACTGTCCCCCAGGGCCTTTGGAGGAAGGACTATCATTATCCCCACTTTACAGATGAGGAAGCTGAGACCCAGCGAGGTTAAGGGGCATGCCACACTTTTAGGACTGATAAATGGCAGGGCCAGGACTTGAACTCAGGCCGTTCTCGGGAGGGAGAAAGAGAGGAGCCAGCCAGCCTGGGTGTGTGTGGGGTCGGGGAGGCCTAGAAGGGGGAGGCGCAGAGAAGGGACTTGGGAGGGTAGCAATGTCCAGGAGAGGGGTAAAGCCATTTCCTGTGGTGCGAACGCGTGGATAGAGTCCCCCTTCCTCCAATCCCCTTCCAACGTTTAAGGCAAGTTTGCACCGCTCATTGATTATTTTTGTGCAATGCAAAGAAATACTGGTTTTCATTTCTCGTGTTCATAGAAAGTGGGGACAAACCCTGGTCCAGACAGTAGCCAGCAGCCAGAGCTGGAGGACCACGGGCTCTCGAAATCTGGTTTATGTAAGAGCTTGTCCAAGGGCAACTCTTCGGAGTCTTCTTTCCAGGTGCAAGACAGGAGGGAGTGGTGTCCCTGTGAAGGCCTGTGTGTTGAATGGATCACTGGCTCTTCCGTTTGAAGTGACTCAGAACAACCTGGTGAAGTTGAGTGTCTCCAGGTTTTCTGTGCCCGTGCCCAGCACTCCAGAACAACCCTTCCAGAACCAACACAGGCTCTGGCTTTGGTGTGTTTTACAAGCTGGCCTACCTGACAGGTTACATGCACAATGGTGCTTCTCCGTTGAATGGTCCCCTCTCCTGGAGTGTGAGCCCAAGCATGGGGAAGAAATGGCAGGGGTGCCCCTGGCCAGGCCTTCCTCCTTGCCCTAGCGATGGAGTGAGGAGAGGCCTGCCCTTCCTGCCCAAATCCTTGCCGTGCAGCACAGTCCTTAGAGGTGAGCCCTCTGTGGTTGGCTACATCTGATGTGAGTTCTAACATTCTTGAGACACTAACCTCCCTGTGCCCACCCGGCATCCTCACTGGTGAGAAGCCCAGTCCTTGGGTTATAAATGGAATCATATATAATATGTGGCCTCCTGTATCTGGCTTTTTTCACATGATGCTTTTTTTTTTTAAGATTTTATTTATTTACTTGAGAGAGAGAGCATGAGAGGGGGGAGGG